AACAGCTGCAGGTAGTTTAAATCTGAGGACTCTGGAAAGAATAAATGCCAGAGCCCAGAGAGTGTGGGGGCTCTGAGAAAGATCAAGGCTGCTCCTGCCTCCCCCTTGCTGTTCTTGGTTGCTGTTGTGAGACAAGAAGTTGTAGATCTCCTGAAATGAGGATTGGATTGGCCTCAAGGAATCTGACGACCCTAACCAGCAGGAAGCAGCTAAGAGAACTGTGACCCCTCTCCCATTAACCTTTCCCTCTCCTACCAGGTGTTGAGGTGTTGGAAGGGATTGGGGTGAAGTGGGGAGAAAAAGATAAAAGAAAAGCAAATAAAAGTTTTGAAAACTAACACCTGCAAGGACCCACACATAGAAGGAGAGAAAGGTTGTCTTTTGACATCCACATATGTATAATTGCATGTGTGTGTGTGAGCACATAAACAAACACAAATAAATAAACATCTGTAATGAAATTTAAAAGTATATTAGGGTCTGGGATGTAGTTCAGTTGTTAGAATGCTTGCCTAGCATGCATGAAGTTTTGCTTTACATGTCTAGCACCACATGGAGGAATTCTAGCACTGGGAAGGTGGAGGCAAGAGGACCTGAAGTTTAAGGTCATCCTTGGCTATACAGTGAGTTGGAGGCCAGCCCGAGTCTGTCTCAAAAATAAGCAAATAAACAGAATGCTGTTGGTCACAGATTATGAAAAAGCACACCCAGAGATCCTTGGGTTGGAAGTGGCTGTGAAGATTTCTGCATGGCTGCCTTAGGTAAAAGATGAGTCTGTTTTCAGTAGTAAAAGGGATAATTACTACGTAGAGGCATTCTTAAAATCACAGCTATGGAAGAAGGCTATGTGTGGTTATAGAGAAGCCAATGGTTAGTTTGTGGTGTGACTTTCATATTTGGCTGGTGAACATTCCCATCTCTATTTTGAGAGTCATAAATTCTGTCTTCCTTCCTAGAAGAGCAGAGCTATGAACATGACTAATAGCTAATTTCCCCACAACTTGAGTGGCTCAAGGAAAGGCAAATGGTCTGAGTGGGACAAATCGCAAGCATCCTCGGGGAAAAACTGATGCTGGGAATGAATATGTTAAAATGAGAGTGTGGAGTCTGGCCATGTGGGCAAGCCCTACATTGAGGTAAGGGGTTCCAGAGGAATGAAGACAGAAGCAGAGATGCAAGGGGAAGACTCTTGTTGATGAAGCCTGGGGTTGTTGCAGGATATTTGATCCCATTGTGAACCCCAAAACTATGAACTGTAAAACCCTGTTTCTTTAAAGTTTTTTCTTAGATCAAGTACAGAAAGCCATATTGACTATGAAGACTAAATTAAAAAATAACAAAATTATATTAATCATAATTATGATCATAATCATAATTGATACTGAGCTAATTTTAGTTATATTATTTAGCTTTTCATTTAATGCTTCTATTTTTAGGCCATCTGAAGTAGCACTAAATATGGTTTTAAAGTCTTCTATTACAGTAGTTCCCGTCCTTAACTGTCTCCTAGAAGACTTCACAGATGACTTACTGAATCTGATGGCTTCTTTGTCCGAAGCTGGAGTGATCTCTCTGTCTCTAGGGTTGTGCCACTTTTTGGAGCATCAAAATGTTTGAAAGAAGGAAAATCCCAACTGTTCTATTGTACTAATTAAGACTCAGGAGCCAGATGCTAGGATGAAAACCTACTAGCTCAGAAAGGGAGAAAAAATAACCAGCTAGTCTTCCTTCTCAGCTCAGGTCTGGATGGAAAAATCCAAAGGCTCACTAGCTCAGCTGACAGCCCAGGAGCAAGGCCAAAAAAAAAAAAAAAAACCAACCAACCAAACAAAAAAAAAACCCAAAAAAAACCCAACCAAACAAACAATAAAAAACAAAACAAAACAAAAAACAAACAAACCCAAGGCCAATGGCTTGCTAGCTTAGAGCCCAAAAAGCCAGGGAGCTGAGAGCTGAAGCCTAAGCTAAAGCCAGAGCTTGAGTGCTTTCTTCTTCTCCACGCTATCTTAAACATTTCTCAACTTAAAGTCCCTCCTACTCTTTAATCTATGTCAGCTAGTTTCTTGCTCTGCCTCTTGACCTGGGGTTAACTTTATTAAATCCTGTGTACAGAAAGCTCTTGAATTAAAGGTGTGTGCTAGGGCAGGGTGAACCTCCCCATTATCACCAGGTTACAATAAACAGAAAGTTCTTGGAATAAAGGTGTGTGATAGGGCTCAACCACACCAAAGAAACAGGGTTTTACATTTCACAATTTTGGGGTTCACAATGAGATCAAATATCTTACAACATAGGGTTATGCTTGTAGCACACCCTTCTTTTTCCCTGAGCTATCATTCTCCTCTACTCCTTTAAGCTAGTATAATCTTAACTTCTGTTTTACTTTTTTTTTTTTTTAAATCAGTTGGGGATCAAAGCCAGAATCTCATGTATAAGAGACAAGTGTCCTACCACCAAGCAAAATTCCCAGCATGTTTTACATGTATGAGTATGGTTATGAGTGGCTCATAACCACTGAGCCATCTCTCTAGACCCTTATTTTCATTTTTTAAAGACAGGGTCCTATGTACCCTAGGCTTTGTAGAAGTCACCCTGCCTCAGAATCTCAAACACTGGGATCACAGGTGTCAGCCACATGCATGTGTCTTTCACGATATAGACCAAGCTGGCCTTGAACTTGTGCTGATGTTCCTGCTTCTGTCTCGCAGCTGCTGGGATTACACATGTACTTACTGCTACCTAGATACTTTTTGATGTTGTTGTTAAATATGGAGTCGCATGTTTCTAGACTAACCTGAAACTTGCTATGTAGCTGAAGATGACATCTATCTATTTGCCTTCACTTTTCTGGTGCCAGGATGACAGCCATGTCCCACTCTGCCCAGCTTACATTTTTTTTTTCCAACTAGGGTTTCAGCCTGAAAATTCTTGTTGTTTGTTTTTTGAGACAGGGTTTCTCTGTGTAGCCCTGGATGTCTGGGAACTCATTTGTTATTCAGGCTGGCTTGAATCCAGGTAGATTGACCTGCCTCTGCCTCCTGGGCGCTGGGAGTGTGGTGTGTACCACCGTGCCTGGCATTACTTGGTTGGAATTACTGGCATCTGTCACACGCTTTATTTCATTTACATGTACATGTGTGTGTGTGCCTCAGTGTGGGCATGTGCACACAAGGGTACCCTGTACTCGGAGTCAGAAGAGGGCGTTACCCCCCCCTGAAACTGGACTTACTGGCAGTTGTGGGCCACCTGATGTGGGTGCTGGGAATTGAACTCAGGTCCTCTGAAAAAGCAGTAATTGCTTGTAACCACTGGGTCACCTCTCCAGCCCCATTAACTTCTTCTTCTCCTTTTTTTAATTTTTATTTTTGTGCTTTTTGAGACAGGGTTTCTCTCTGTGTAGCCCTGGCTGTCCTGGACTCCACCTGCCTCTGCCTCCCCAGTGCTTGGATTAAAGGAGTGCACCACCACGTCCAGCTAACTTCTGTTTGGACGTTACAAAACTCTTAACTAAAAAGTCTGCTAACACTAGGCATGGTGGCTCACATCTTTAATTCCAGACTCAGGAGGCAAGCAGATCTCTGAGTATGAGGCCAGCTGGGTCTACAAAGCAAGTTCCAGGCCAGCTAAGGATACATCGTCAGACTCTGTATTTAAAAAAGTGTGTTTAGGTGCCCACTGTAATGTTATCTCTTTTAAGTTCAAATAATACTTTGTTTAGTTGAAATCCCAGCACTCAGGGAGGCAGAGGCAGCCTGATCTCTGTGAGTTCAAGGCCAGCCTGGTCTACAAAGCGAGTCCAAGACAACCAAGGCCAAATGGAAAACCTTGTCTTGAATCCCTTCCCCCCAAAACAACAATAAAAACCTTTGCCAATAGCTGAGCAGGATAGGAAGAAAACAGACCCCCTCCTTTTTTTTTTTTTTTTTTCTTCTCTTGAATCAGGGTCTCACTGTATACAGCTCTGACTGTCTGTAGCTTGCTCCATAGACCAGAGTGATCACCTATTCACAGAGATCTACATGCCTCTGCCAATGGCCAGCTCTAGGATGCTGTCTTTGGTCTGGTAAAACTCTCTGTTCCCCATTCTGTCTGTGGCAAGCCTCTGGTATTTCCCTTTTAGCTAAGTAGGTGTGGCTCATGAGATTACGGAGGCTGAGAAATCTGAAATAGGCAAGAATGGCCATCCACACAGTATATAAGTACTCCACCCCCGTGAAGTAAATGCTCTAAAAAGGAAAAGAGGGGCGGAGCCTGTCATGGTGGTGCTAGCCTGTAATTCTAGCACTCGAGAGGCTGAAGCAGGAGTTACAAGGCATCCAGACAGCCAGCACTTCATGTATGAGAGACAAGTGCACGATGCCCTAGCACGCGTCTTAAAAAAAAAAAAAAAAAAAAAAAAGACATTTGAAAATATCCTTTCCCAGAGATCCAGAAAAATGCAGTTTCCTCTTACATTCCGTGCTAACTAAAGCTCCTCAATACCACACTTTCCTCCTCTGTGGCTGAGCACAAGCATGGCAGTCCGCTTCTAAGAGCAAGTCGATGCTCAAAGGATTCACAGTGCGTCCTGGACCCCGCAGAGGGAGCCCCTAGGCACCTGGCCGTCCACACTCCCTCGAGCAGCTGCTGCCTAGCAAGGGAAAGGCGGAAGAACCGGTCAGAAAGTAGCGCGAAGTTGCATCGGTTGCTTACTGCAGGCACATGGGATCTTTGGGAACACCAAGAAGGTCAGGTAGGCCTGAACAGCCATCACCCTGACGGAGCTGCCTGGCCGGGTCTAGAGGACCTGGCCCAGAACAGAGCGCAGGCCACGCCCGGCCACGCCCACCCGCCCCGTGCCCCGCCCCCGTCCAGCCCGGGGAACCCAGTCGTCACAGTATTTCCGGTTCCAATCCTTCCACGGGCTTCTGTCGCCCCCTGTTTCTCAGTCATCTAGCCCCGGCCCCGCCCCTACCGCGTCTTTGACACAGTCACGTGAGGGGCGCTCGCAGGGCCTGCCGGGAGTAGTACTGCCGGCGGGTCAGGGTTCGGTCCAACATGGCGGTTCCTGTCGGACAGTGACCAAGGCTTTGCCGTAGGGAGGACTGAGCGGCGGTGGTAGGAGTCCCCACCTGCCAGGGTGGGATGCAAAGCCTCGGGGAGCGCTGAGCGGAGGCAGGGACGGGCCCAGGCCCTGAAAGCCGAGGCGGCGGCGGCTACGCGCAGTCGGCTGCAGGCTCCGGAGTGGGGCCGCGCCCGGCTGGGCAGGCGGCGGCGGCTGCGGCAAGCTCGGCTCCGAGGCGGGGCGGAGGCCGGGCGCCCGGCTGCGGCCATGGCCCAGTGCGTGCAGTCGGTGCAGGAGCTCATCCCGGACTCCTTCGTTCCCTGCGTGGCCGCGCTGTGCAGCGACGAAGCCGAGCGCCTCACCCGTCTCAACCACCTCAGCTTCGCCGAGCTGCTCAAGCCCTTCTCTCGCCTCACTTCCGAAGGTACGTGGTGTCCTTCCTCGATCCCCGCGCTGAAGCCGAGCCAGGGCTGAGAGAAGGAAGTTGGGAGCGAGTGGAGGACTAGAGGGGCGACGGGCCGGGGTTGCGGCCCGATGAGGGCCGGCTAGCGTCTGTCAAGACCGCGCGCTCCTGACTGCCCGGTTGGACAAACCGGGTCATGAAATCGCAGAGATAAACTTTGAGTGTCGAGACTGCTCTTATCAGCCACCCAACAGGATTTGGCACTTACTGTACGGTTCAGATGGGAAGATGCAGCCTCCAAAACGGAGTGTAAGAGTGACGATCTGTCATGCCCCCCCAACCCCCCATCGAGTATTAAATCTGTCTTTCCAAGTTATCTTGTTCATGACATTCCTCTAGCCTTGAGGGTCACCAAACATCTCTCTGGCTATTGACTCTTTTACTTTCGACCATTAAAACGGGTTCTTAGCTCTACTGTAGTTTGCCCAATCTCAAGGAAGTAGCAAAGACTGCACGAATTAATAAAGGCTAGGACCTTCGATGCGGCTCAGTTAGGAGAGTGTGTCCGCCTAGCATGCTGGAAGCCGCCATCGGTTAGACTCTCAGCACCACATAACCTGTGCGCACCTGCGATCCCAGCCTTTGGAGGTAGAGGCAAGAAGTTGTTTTAAGTCTTTTCTGAGCTATGTAGGTGTTCGAGGCCAGCCAGGGTTACATATGACCCTATCTAAAGAGAAAAAAAAAAAAAAAAGTTAAGAAAAGGAAAGGATAAATTGTAACTAACAATGTAGATGTATCAACTTACCTAGATTTATAGGGCTGGAACAGTTCAAACATTTTGCTTTTTTCATATTGATAGTTAATCATGAGAAATGTATTCATATTTAAGAGTTATTTGCTTTATCCAGCTTTATTTTTTATGTTTGTTAATTTTTAAGATGGGTTTCACTCTAGGCCAGGCTGGTCTGGAACTCACTATATATGTAGCCTGGCAGGCCTCAAACCCCAGGCAATTCTGTTGAAACCTCTTGAGTGTTGAGATTATAGGCTTGAGCCACCATTCTGGGCTCCTTCTCCAGTTTTTGATTTTTTTTTTTTAAATTAGGGAAAAAACTAAATTTTACGTACAGTTTTATTCAAGGAGCCTAGAGAGATGGCCCAGTGATTAAGAGCACATGAAGCTCCTGCAGAGGACCAAAGTTTCATTCCTAGCACCCATGTCAGAATTTCTTGTAACTCTAGCTCTGGGGGGAATCCAAGGCAATCCCCCCCCCCCGACTTACTTTATTTATCTATATCTACCTACCTACCTATTATTTATTTATATATTTATTTTGGTGTTTGGGGACAGGGGTTCTCTTTGAAATAGCCCTGGCTGTCCTGAACTATGTAGACAGGCTGGCCTTGAACTCACAGAGATCTACCTGCCACTGCCTCCTCTGTCCTGGGATCAAGCTGAGCCCCACAGACAGTTTTTTTTTTTTTTAATAATTTTTATTTTTTATGTTAATCACAGGTTATTTACTTTATATCCCAGCTGTTGCTCCCTCCCTCATTCCCTCCCAATCCCACCCTTCCTCCTTCATCTCCTCCCTCCCCCTTTCCAAGTCCACTGATAGGGGAGGTCCTCCTCCCCTTCCATACAGTTCTTTAAAAGTTAAAAATTTTATTTAAGTATACTCCCAAGTGTGGTTTAGCCCTGATCAGTTTGACTTTCTCTGTGCTCTTTCCTACTGCGTTAAGAAAAGGAAACAGGGCTGGAGAGATGGCTCAGTAGTTAAGAGCACTGTCTGCTCTTCCAAACGACTCAGGTTCAGTTCCCAGTACCCACATGGCAGCTCACAACTGCCTGTAACCCCAATTCCAAGAGATTTGACACCTTCACACTGTTACACATAAAATAAAGTTTACTTTATAAAAAAAAATTGCAACAAAAAGAATGCAAAACCTCCATTTATATCTTTTATATTATTAAATACTTATTAAAATAAACCTGCCAAAACTTTAGAAAGACATGGGTTAAATAACTAATATTACTAAAACTAATCCCACCAGGATGGGGAATATTCCCAAATAGGGGGAAAAATGGTTGTTAGTACAAGAGGTACCAAGTTCAATTTTCAGCATCAAAAAGAAAAAAAACATTTTCATTTGCTATTTTTTTCTTTATAAATTTTTATCATACCTACCAAACATTTAACTATATACATGAGGCCTGACATGGTGGCACATGCTTATAATCCTAATATTTAGAACATAGAGGCAGGAAGATCAGGAGTTCAAGGCCAGCCTGGTTCCAGGAGACCTTGCTCTCCAGTATAAATAACTAATTTTAAGCACTTCCAGAAGATTAGATGATCGATGATTCAGATCATAGTACCTTGAGTCACACTGCCTGTTTTCAAACCTTTGTTAGATATAAAACTTCAATTAAGCTACCATTGATGCCCTCAATGCCCTCAATTTTTTTTAATTTGGTATGTTTACACTTAAATATCCTTTCTTGCCAGTAGGTGCATTTTTAAGAACTCTTCTGTGGTGGCGCTGCTGTCACTGGACAGTGCAGTGATGGAGGCGAACTACCTGTCCACTTCTCCTTCCCTTTGCAGCCTAGGAAAGATTAGGAAGGGATATAATGAGGTGGCTGACAGAGAGACGGTAGTTAGGGAAAAGCAACCACTGCTCCTTCAGGAGACGGGGAAGGAATGAGGGTGGGATGGTGTCTTAGTTCCCCTTGTTCTTCTTGTAAAATACTCTGACAAAAGCAGCTTAGGAGAGAAGGGGTTTATTTTAGCTCATGGTTGAAAGTATTGTCTATTATGGCAGAGAAGTGAAGGCAGCAAGAGCCTGAAGCATCTGGTCAGAATCCACAGTCAGGAAACTGATGATTTCAAAGTAGTGCTATCTCTTTCCCAGTGTATAGTCCAGGATCTTTTTAAAGTAGATAGTTCCCTCTGCAGTCATGATGAGGAACCATCACAATCAAGATAGCCCTGCAGTAGCATGCCCAGTTTTCAGTGATTAAGTTTGCAGTTAAGACTGCCATCCAATGATTAGGTCAGAAGGTGTAAATTGTAGTCTAGTGATTAGCAGAGAGCAGCAGGAAAGTTGTTTTCAGGAGTTCAGAATGCAGAGGAGGTGCCTGCAAGAGGGGAAGCTTGAGTTTCAGGAAGGGGCTTTTAGATTTTGTTTCTAGTGGTAAATATGAGGCAGTCTTGAGTTCTTCAGTAAGGCCATTTTGGCAGATCTTTGAGTTTGTAGTATATAAGGTTTCATGTGAGTTGGTATAAAATTTTGAAAACTTGAAGCTCTCATGGTACATGTCTATAATCCTATTACTTTAGAGGCTGAGTCAGGATTGCTTGCTTGATACCAGCTTGAATTACATAGGGAAACACTCAAAAAAGAGGAAAAAGATATAGTTCAAAGGTGATTGAGATATAGACTTCAGTTGCTACATAAAAATTTTCGTAGAGGACTGGAGAGATAGCTTAGAGGTTAAGAGCTCTGTTTGTTCTTCCAGAGGTCCTGAGTTCAATTCCCAGAAACCACATGGTACCTCACAACTATTTCTAATGAGATCATTGTCCCCTTCTGGCCTGTTGACATATATGCAGGCAGAACACTATATAAATAATAAATAAAATTTAAAAAAATATTGGTAGAACATGAAGTTATGAAGGGGCTGGGGGTACATATGGGAGGGGTTGAGGGAGGTGGAGTATTTGAGTATAATCAAATATGAAATATAAATATGAAAAATAATCAAAATATGAAATACTCAAAGAGTTAATAGAAAATACTATATTTAAAAATTTGGTGAGCTCTCTCTGCCTTGGTTTCTCTCCCCTTCTCTGACTTTCTTGGGGTGTCTCACCCACTCCCCTTTTCTCTCTCTTCTACCCTCTCCCACTGTCTTTATCTTTCTTTCTTTCTCTCCCTCTTTTTCACCTCATCTCTGTACAATAAATCTCTTCATACCAGAAACAGCACCAACAATAAGTTGGTGAAAACCAAACTGTCTTTATGTTGGTGGCAATAAATAAAATTTTGAATTTTTTTTCTTTCATGGTGTGTCTGTTTGTATGAAATATAGACTCTTCAAAGCTTTTTTTTTTTAACCCCCTTAGGCAGTAAGTCTTAAGGCTATCACTTTAGGCAGTACAATTTCAGGATCCAAGTTTTAAAACAAGTTAAATTTTATTCATTCATTCATTCATCCATTCACTTATTTACTTATTTTGGTTTTTCAATATTGGGTTTCTCTGTGTAGCTTTGGCTCTCCTGGAAATTTCTTTGTAAGCTTGGCCTCAAACTCAGAGATCCATCTGCCTCTGCCTCCCAAATGCTGGGAATTAAAGACCTGTGCCACCACAACCAGCTCTAAATTGTATTTTGAAGAGATTTACTTATTTTTATTTCATAAGTATGAGTGTTTTTACCAGCACATCTGTCTGTGCACCACATGTGTTCATTGTTGGCAGAGATCAGAAAAGAGTTTGAATCCCCTGAAACTGGAGATACAGATGATTGCTAGCCACCCTGTGAGTGCTGGGAATTGAACCCTGGTCCTCCAGAAGAACAGCCAAAACCTCTCTCTAGTCCAAGTTAAAATTTCTTTATTCAGAAAAAGGAATGTAAACAAATAAACGAGACTAGATTTTATTTGTGGCCTGCAGGTTTGTTTGATTTGTCCTGGCTTCTGAGATCAAACTTGGCTTAGTATACTGTCATGCAGTAGACCTATCTTTAGTTCAGGAGAAAAACACAGTTTAAAAATATAGTGAAAAGAAGGTTGCTAGAAGAATTTTGAGTACTGTATTTGTATAGCCCTTTGAAAATAGAGTTTAGGCTTCATATGCATATATATCAGATGCTGGAGAGGCATTTAAGGTTTCCTGCATGTTTTTTAAAACTAAAAAGACATGTGCTGAATATATTGATAAAGCACAATTAAATGGTTTTGCATATATTCTTGGTGTGTGTTCCAGACCTAACTTGCATTCACTGTTTAAACATTT